ATATGGACGTTTTTTGACCTCGTTTTTGTGACTTGATCCTGTTGTCAGGCTGGCCAAGTTGGTCAAGCTTCTCTGTCCCAATAGTTATGCTAATTCTCAACGGAGACCGTGACCAAAACCGAGGCCACAGCAGCTTGGTCCAATATCTGTACACAATTATAATTCTATTTTTTCGTTTTTAATTTGTCTCCTCTCGGCTTAATCTTAATTGGCATTATTCGCAAGAGTGAGCTTCAGCTCTGAAGGCGGTTCTGTAAATTGGCATGCCAGTCAATCCGTTATCAACCGGAGCGAGAGAAGATGTCTCGTGCCGTGAGTTAAACTAGACGTCGTGGGAAAGCCAAACGACGGCCCAACAACGCGTAGCAGCGGTCGTCTTCTGGTGCGATCGACCTTCGAATCTCTTCATCGTTCACTTGGCTGCGAACTGAAAGTCACCCCAACAATCTTCATACTTTGTGTCAGCGTCGCCTCCACGCTTTGTCACACTCGCTCGGCGTGTGATTGTGCACGGTCTGTGTGGGCTTCTTGTATGACTAGTGACATGCTGGTGCCTTGAAGACGTCCAGCCTCGAGTGGACGCAAAGTCCCAGCCTGGGCCCGATCTGTACCAACGGGCCGTCTGCGAGTCGTTTCGGCCGCGCCGACTCGACACGAAACAGAGCCTCGGCAGCGCGGTTTTGTTGGTTTGGGGTCAGGGGAGGCGGGGGTCAGAATGATAATTAGGCCGAGTTGGGGAGATGGCCGAGCAACACGCGTGCCCACCATCGGCCTCTCGAGGTCCCCTGTGACCTCGGCCGAGCTGCTGTACCATCGGCCGGGACGACTTTTATTGCCCTCCTCCGCGTCGGATGGCCCAGTCGACCGGGCCACCGACAGCCCGTCACGACTCACTCGTTGCTCTCCGCCCTTTGGCCGTTTTTTGCAGTCCATTAGCGCCACAACCCGTTCGGCCGACACACACACACTCGCTTCTGACGTAAGTGCAACGATGCCCGATCGTGATGACCCTGTCAAGTCAAAGACAAGTCTGTAGCCATGACCACTCGGTAGACGGACAATGCAACTGTTTGTATGCGGGCCAGAGATTGGAGCATTTTGTATGTGTGTTCGTGTGCAGATTGGCAAAGTTTGAGATATTTATGCAAGAGTGTGATATTGCAGTTTGTGAGTGTGTGACTGGGCCTTTGTTAACATGATACTGACAACATGACAAGTGTATGTTGGCAATTGCACGTTTCTTTGTATGTGTGCTTCGATGTATGTGTGTTAATGCCAGTTTGTGTGATTAAATGCATTTATATGAGTATATCTATCGCTTATGTTTGCTAATAACAGTTTGTGTGGACAATGTGATTATAAATATGTGTCCAATGTATGTGTCTATGTATGAACTTTAATAGCAGTTTGTGTGAGTATATGCTTATGCATCTGTGTGTATTTGTATGAGTGAAACTACCAACTTATGTTTGCCAATGCCAATTTGTGGGAATAATGTGACTATAATTAGTTGTGCAATATTACGTATATTTCTATGTATGCTTCGATGTATGTGTGTTAATGCCAGTTTGTGTGAGTATATGTTTATGCCTCTGTGCGCCTTTGTATGAGTATATCTATCGTTTATGTATGCTAATAACAGTTTGTGTGGACAATGTGATTATAAATATGTGTCTAATGTATTTGTCTATGTATGAATTTTAATGCCTGTTTGCGCTGTATGCTTATACATTTGTGTGTATTTGTATGAGTGTGTATATCAACTTATCTTGGTCAATGTCAATTTGTGGGAATAATGTAACTATAAATAGTTGTGCAATATTACGTATATTTCTATGTATGCTTCGATGTATGTATGTTAATAACTGTTTGTGTGGACACTGTGATTATAAATATGTGTTCAATGTATGTGTCTATGTATCAAATTTAATACCAGTTTGCGCGAGTGTATGCTTATGCATTTTTGTGTATTTGTATGAGTGTATCTATCACCTTATCTTGATTAATACCAATTTGTGGGAATAATGTGACTATAGATACTTGTGCAATTGTACGTATCTTTGCATGCATGC